TCCCACTGTGCTCACAGGACTTCAATCTGCAGGTCATAGCACTCCTCAACAATCTATGCACGGTATAACCAACAATATATCCCAGCACAAAACAATGTCACAGTCTAGCCACAGAAGTCATCAACGCTCTATCAATCACCGTGCTCCCAAGCAGATAATACAAGTTACTCCGTCTGACGCCCTTCATCACAATCATGGACCCCGATGTGACCTTCAAGCGAGAATCCGCTAAGGTCACCCTATAGCCTGATACCTCCAATACCCCAAGTGAAATGATGTTCTTCCTCAGTTAAGGAATGAACCTCACATCAGCTAACTCCCGGATCATCCCGTCACTCATCCGAATCTGAACGGTACCAATACCACCAATAGGGTATCTGTGATCATTACCCATGAGAACAGCATCCCCTCTTTCCAACTCCTGAAAGCTGGAGAACCAATCCCTTCTAGGGCATATGTGGTAAGTAGCACCAGAATCCAACATCCACTCGGTGGAGTCGGCAACATCAACTGACGGAAGAGCTGGGCACGAATAGCCCGAAGAATCTGAATCTAAAACATCGCCACTAGCCTTGGCAACATTCACCTCTAAAGCTTGAACAGCTTTCCCCTTATTCTTCACGGCTTGCAATTTTGGGCATTCGTCTTTCCAATGTCCATCCTCTCTACAAAAGGCACACTGATTCCTACCAACTGTAGGATGCCCCTCTCTAGACTGCAATCTCCTACCACGGTTTGGACTTCTAGCTCTTGCAACCAATGCCCCCGCAACCGGCTCAATGGAAGTCTCCTTGTCCTTCTTTTGAAGTTGATAGTTCACAAGGGCTGCGGTGACCTCACTATACGAATGAGATGCCTTCCCATTAATAAGAGTGAGGACGAAGGTCTTATATTCCTCGTCGGGCAAGGAACTCAATAACAACAATGCATTGTCTTCATCTTCAACTGTAACATCTACATTCGTCAAATCTGCAAGTAGCTTCGTGTAGTGGTTCATGTGATCACTAATGGATGTCCCCTTCTTCAATTGGAAGCGATAAAGCCTCCTCTTCAAATGCAAACGATTTTCGATGCTCTTCGTCAAATATTTGCCCTCTAGGACCTCCCAAATCTTCTTTGCCGAAGTTTCATTCATCACATCATATTTTAGATCTTGGGTAAGGCAAGACCTAATCACACCACACGCCGTTCTATTCATTTTATTCCAAACTTTTTTATCAACGTCGGCCGGTTTCGGTTTCCCGTCCAACTCCAATGTATCTTCCAAATTTTACGCATTTAGCGCATCCATGACTTCGCATCGCCAAAGTCCAAAATTATTTGTGCCGTTGAACTTTTTCATATCTATTTTCATAGAATGTATATTCAAACTTTGGACGACCTTCACACTAGAAGAACTCTCCTCACTTTTATCTTTTTCATCCATATATCTCAAAGCACCCAATAAACAATTGCGGAACAAATAGGAAATAGACCCAACTTGAAAAAGATAGAAACTTTACCATAAAGATCCAATCTTTATCACCAATCGAAGCTCTAGATGAACTTCCTAACTGATCTACACCTCCAAAAAGCCCAAGCGTTGCCCGGAGCTCTGATACCAATTGTTGTGCCTCGAGAAACCAAACCAATTGCCGAGAAAGATAAAGAACCAACCAAAATCAATAGCACAAACAATCAATCACCAGTTTTACGTGGTTCAGCGAGATGCCTACGTCCACGGGGCAAGGAGGGGGAGTTTTTACTATTAGAAATCAAGAGGAACAAACTAGGGTTACAAATCTCTCATAAACCCTCAACAATCAACTCTCAATCTCTCCAATTGCTCCTAGAATAGAAGCCCAAAGAAAACTCTCTCAATCTGCTTAAATTCGTCCTTGCTCTTAACCCTAAAAAACACCCAAAGGGTATTTATACAAACCCAAAACGAAGCGGGTCTGAAAACAGGCAGCCCAGCCCAAAACAGCGTCGGTCGACCGGACCGGTCGACCGCGATCAATTCCGGTCGACCGGCCCGGTCGACCGACCAGCTCTCAGTAGAAAACCCAAACTCCAGAGAACCGTCGGTCGACCGCACCGGTCGACCGATCTCCTTCCAGACGCACAGGAAGCCTTGTGCACGAATGCGGTCGACCG